TGGTCTACAGAGCAAGTTCCAAGACATCCAGGGCTACACAGAAAAACCCTGTCTCAGTGGGGTACAGGGGAGCTGGTATGACCAGAATGTAGGAAACAGTACTTCCATTCATTATTGGTGAGAACACTGGCTTAGCCATTTGTAGCTCATGGTGGGAAGGCTTCCTTTTTCATGCTCTGTGAAGTTTCAGTTTTTAGTCAGTTTCTTACAAAATTAAAAATACTATGTCAATAATTGTAGGCAAAGTTACAGGAGTCCATTGAATATGAAGACTTGGGAAACAACAATTCCGTGAAAACGATTGCACTGAATCTCAAGAAGTCAGACAGGTCAGTTTGGCTGATGGAAGTGAAACACTTATCAGTAGTCAGCACAGAATGTACTCTGCAAGTCTAAAGTCAGTTTGCTGCCATAAAAGTACAATATACAATTTCCTTTAAAAGTTTGTTTTGTGAACTGGGTATGATCAAATGCACCGTGACCTAAGCAGGAGGGAGGAAAGAGTAGGAGGGGCAGTAGTTCACGGATATCCTCAGCTGTGTAGCAAATTAAGGCTAGTCTGGGTTATTTTAACTTTATACATACCTGAAATGTATCCTAAATGCCAAGAAAACTAATTCTTATTATACTTATTAGTGTGTGTGCGCATGTCACAGAAGTGTGGAAGTCATTATGTATGCATGTCACAGCAAATGTGTGGAAGTCACGACAGCTTGGGATCTGTTCCCTGCTTCCACTTGGGACCCAGGTTGTCAGGCTTAGTTAGCAGCAGGTGCCTATGAGCCACTTCACAGGCTCAAATTTTGGATCTTCATTCTGGTTTTTTTTTTTTCTTACTGCCTTTTTATAGAAATTAAATTATAAGGACTGGAGAGATAGCTCAGTGGTGAAGAACTCATGTTCTTACAGTGGACTCCAGTTCAGTTCCCAACACCAACATCAGGTGGCTCACAACCACCTATATAACTCTGTCTCCAGGGGATCCAACACTTCTGGCCCTACAGGCACCTGCACCCGTATGCATATACCTGCCCACCACCACATAACATACATATAACTAAAAATAACAAAAATAAAATTTTTAAAAAGGAAATTAACAACTTTTTTAATTTCTTGAAGTGTTGTATGATTTTTTTGCCAAGAGAGAATGTTTTGTTGATGCTAAAATATTTGAAAGACTGATCTGAACACCTTTATGATGTATAATTGGTTATTTTTCCTGTGCTAACCTCCAGGTATTATCATGGTCCTACTCCAATTCAGTCACTGCAGTATGCAACAAGTCAGGACATTATTAATTCTTTTCAAAGTATTAGACAAGAAATGGAAGCTTATACACCCAAGTTAACTCAGGTAGGTGATTTTTACTGTTTAAAGGCCAGAATTCTTATAGCTGCTACCTCAGGTTATAAGCCCAGCCAGATTGAATTACATAACAGAGCATTTGTTTGTTCTTTTTTTTTCTACTGGGTTGCCTGAGGCCATTTTCATTCTAGTGTACTAGGAGCCGCATATAAGTAATTGTGTGTGTCTATTTAAAACTAGGACCCGTAGATTAGGAAACTGAGAGCCAAAGCAGTTGCATAACTCTAAGCATACAGGACAACCTGCGTGAGTCATTTCTCTCCACCATGTGGGTCCTCGGGATTAAACTCAGATTGTCAAGCTTGCAAGTAAGCACCTTTACAAACTGAGCTATCTTGATGTCACCTATTTAATATTGTCAGACAGTAGTTGACTATAGGAAACTAAAACCTCAAAAATCAAAATTATGGAGAGAGGCCAGATAGATAGTTAAGTAGTTCAGAGACTTGTAATGGATGCTGCTCTTGTTTAAAGGACTCACATTTGGCTCCCAGAACCCATAGTGGGTAACTCACAGCCGCTTATAAGTCAGCTCCAAGAGATCTGCTATCCTTTTCTGGATGCCACCAGCACACACACACACACACACACACACACACACACACACACACACACACGCATGTATATTGTACAGTTTTTTCAAAGGTTCTGTTAAGGGATCTACTGTATTCCTGGCAGATGGATTTTCTACACATACCATTTCTAGTGTCAAAGTTTTTCATTCTGGTTGATATGCATAATATATTTGCATAGGAATAAAACCTGCTATTAAGACCAGTGGGAGGGCTGGAGAAATGGTAGTTGAGTGCTAGCTGTTCTTCCAGAGGTCCTGAGTTCAATTCCAACAACCACATGGTGGCTCACAACCATCTGTAATGGGATCTGGTGCCCTCTTCTGAAATGTAGGCATACATGCAAACAAAGTACTTGTACATAAAAATAAACAAACACATATTTAAAAAAAAAAAAAGACAGATGCTGGGTGGGGTGGGCAGTGGTGGCACCTGCCTTTAGTCACAGCACTTGGAAGGCAGAGACAGGCAGATTTCTGTGAGTTCAAGGCCACCCTGGTCTACAGAGTGAGTTCCAGAACAGGCACCAAAGCTACAGAGAAACCCTCTCTCAAAAAAAAAAAAAAAAAAAGACAGATGGCAAAAGGGAGCTAAGTCAGTTCCTGATTCGTTTCTTTCAGGTTCTCTCAAGCAGTGCTGCTAGTAGCACCATCACAGCCCTGTCACCTGGAGGAGCACTTATGCAGGGAGGGACACAGCAGTCCGTAAACCGTACGTGCTGGGCCCACTTCCCCCTTTCTTTCCTTTGCTTACTTACTACTAAGGAAGTGCAAGATTGTGCTGGCTTGTCTTGTTTATTTTTTTTAATTACTACTAAGTTTCTTTATTGAGGGTGGGGAGGTTGTCTGAGTGCCATGGCCCATGTGGAGGTTAGAGAACTTACAAGAGTTAGTTCTCCCACCGTGTAAGGCCTGAGCTCAGGTCGCCAGGCTTGGCAGTGTTTTTATCCACTGAGCCACCTCACCAGCCCTGTATTGGCTTTTCTCTAAGAGTTGGGATATTTTGCTGAGAGTAAGTGCGTGTGTGGGAGTGGGTTTGGGGGATGATAACCCAGACCTGCGTGCTGTGCGTGCACTACACTGCTGAGCTATATGCTCAGCACCTAGAGTGGTCATTTTTAGGACTGTGGAAGTAGCTGTTGCCCTAGGGCCCTCTTCCTTTTGCAGAGATGGTGCCAAACGATATTCAGTCTGAACTGAAACACTTGTACGTGGCTGTTGGAGAACTTCTGCGGCATTTCTGGTCCTGCTTTCCTGTTAATACACCATTCCTAGAAGAAAAGGTTAGAACTGATTATAAATACAGCCAGCTACTGTGGTAATGACTGAGAGGTAAACATGCATTACCATGTGCCAGATTAGTGTAACTGTTAGATTCAATACCCATTTCATAGATTAGGAAACTGAGCCATAGCAGTTGCATAGACTCAGCACAGGGCACTAATTATTTGGTACATTTGTTACTCATCAAAACTGTCCTATATAAACTGCTCTTTGAACAAATGTTAAGGAAAAGACGGGACAGGTGGTAAAGTTCAGTGGTAGAGCATGTGCTAAGTATGCTTGAGGCACAGGGCTCAGTCTGCAGCAAAAGAAAGGAGAAAAGATTTATTTAAAAAAAAATTAAAACAATGGTGCATACTGTTAATCCCAGCACTTGGGAGACAGAAGAAGCAGGTAGTGAATTCCAGGCCAGCCAGAGCTACACAGTAAGATCCTGTCAAAAATTAATTACTTAATAAAAACAATAAGCAGAAGACCTAACAGGTAGTATCTAAGTGACAGTCAGGCATGATACATACCTGTAATCCCAGCATTCAGGCAAAGGAGATAAAATCTTGAGTTCAAGATCTAGACTCCAGCTGGGAACGGAGTCTTTAATCCCAGAACTCTGAATTTGAAGATAGCCTGGTCTACATAGGAAGTTCAATCCATCCAGAAGTATATAATGAAACCCTATATTAAAAGAAAAATTCTGAACTGTATATTGAAACTAAATAGAAACAAAAGGCTGAACATCCAGCCCTTGTTTAGTAGGTATGAAGCCCCGAATTTTGATTCCCTGCACCACCTAAGTGGGTGGGGAAGGAAGAGGGCTGACAGCTCAGCTCAGTAGCAGTTTTTCTAGCCATATGCAAGATCCTGGGTTTGATCTCTTATCAAAGAGGAGAGGACCCAGGTAGCTCAGACTCACTCATATTGCAGTAAAAGAACATTTTTTTTTAATGAAGTAAGTAAAACACTCAAAGTGATTACTAGTGCTGAATTGGTAAGAGAAGAGTCTGTTTTCCACAGTTATAAACATTCTTTGACTTAGAATTCATCATTTAAAAATTTGCCTTAAAGATCGGACTGGAGAAGGCTCTCGAGAAGTTACAGAGGATCTGAGTTTGGTGCCCAGCACCCATGGTGTTTCAGAGCCGCCTGTAACTCCAGTTCCAGTAGATGCCTTCCTCCAACAGCACCAGGCACACATATGGCACACAGTCATACAGGCAGGCAAAACACTCAAGCATAAAATAAAATTTAAAAACCATTTGAGATAAATAATAAAAATTTGCATTAAGGAAATTAAAATGTGTATAAATATTTAGCTAGAGAAATGTTCCAGTGCCATCAAAAAGTAGAAACGCCTCAAATATCTACCAGAAGAGAATTGACTAAGAATATGTGGTTTGCTCATATATTCAAACATTGTTTGAAGCCATTTAAAATGGCTGAAGCTGGGCATGATGTCGCACATTTTTAATCCCAGCACTCAGAAGGCAGAGGCAGGTGGATCTGTGAGTTTAAGGCTAGCCTGGTCTACAAACAGAGTTCTAGGACAGTGCTGTTATACAGGGGAAAGTATTTACTGAATAAAAGATGTTCAAATTAAATAAAGAGAAATTTTGGAATAGTATGTACTTCTCTGCACTAAATATGTGGAATATGAATTGTAAGCATCATTGTTAAAAGATGATTGAGTAGTGTGATATACATGTTTTGTTTTTTTTGTTTTTTTTTTTTAACAGAAATCACCTTCTTAGAAAGAAGATAGTGTTTTTCTCTTGGTTCCTACAGGTTCTTTGCTATTCCTCTATAATTTATTGCTTCTCATCTTTTTTAGGTAGTGAAAATGAAGAGTAATTTGGAACGGTTCCAAGTTACAAAGCTCTGCCCATTCCAAGAAAAGATTCGGAGGCAGTATTTAAGCACAAATGTAAGTCCCAATTTTCTGCCTCTTTGTATTTAACGATGAAATTAACTTTGCTTTCATATAAATGACTACATTGTTCTTTTCTTTGCTCGGTATACTTTTTAATTTTAAAATGTGCCATGCATTCAAAAGAATATAGAAAATACATATACTTAAACTAGCCTGGACTACATAGTGAAAGACCCTGTCTCAAAAAAAAAAAAAAAAAAGTACTTGCCAGTTAGTGAAAATATTCTGAGTGCCCTATCCGGTTGTATGTACATCAGTGCCTCCTACCAGCATTTATAAGAACCATCCCAATGTTTTTCTTTCTTTTTGTTTTATTTTATATAGTGTGTTGAGGCAGGACAGAGGTGTATATATGCCACCCTCAGAAGACAACTTGCAGAGTCAGGTCTCTCCAGACTAAATGGGATGTGGGGATCAAACTCAGATTGTTAGGCTTGGGTCCAACTGCCTTTACCCACCAAGCCCTCCTTATTGTTCTTGATAGATTTATTAAGTGTATAGTGCTAAAAATCTGTTACTAATTTGGAAAAACTGAGTCGCATTCACAAACCTGCCAGTGAAGGACAGGCAAATTGTTGATGAAAAAACTGAGCTGTCACTGAATGGTGCTTTACAGCAGTGAAGGCCAGTGATTGGGCAGGTTGTTTTGCACAAGGTCTCTAGCATTGTTTCCAAGCAAAGGTAGAGCAAATGTAGAAGAGGTTCCTTCAAGAGATACTGACTTAGTGAAAAATCTTATATATAGACAGAACAGCCAGCATTTCAGTAACTGGGATGATCAGAAATGGGGTTTTGAAAAATCTTCATCACTTACTATTTTTCCCAGTAAGCCTTGAATGTCTCTCACAATAGGCCAAGACACTAAGCAGGTTCTCTGTTTCACCTCGGTTGATTCTGTTTGCAGTACCATGTTGAGGATTCTTAGACCATGTGTAGCTATATAGTAGGATATGGAATGCATCTCACTGATACTGTAAAGCCACTGCTATCTGTCAAGCAGAAAGAGAAATTATTGCATTTTCCAGACAGAGATGATACACCCTCTTCCCCTCTAAAACAGGACTAGAGGTGGGGGTTGCTGAAGATTGAATCTGTACTTTACACATCCTAGGGAAGCGCTCTCCTCTGCCTTGCACTTCGAACTGGGGTTGGGACATACTTCAATCTCTATTTTAGATCAGTCACTGCTAAAAGGACTAAGAGCCTCAAAACTACCCCTCCTCCTAGAATGATAAACTTAACCATGCGAACACTCATACCTTTACAGAAACACATTACAAGGCTTTCTAACCTCAAGAGTTAATGTGATCTTTGACTTGACTTGTTAGACCCGTAGAGACAGAACTCTTTAAAGGGGTATAAAGATGAGTGTTGAGTCGGTATGATGGTGCCTGCCTGTGATCCCGCACTTGGACAGGCCAGCCTGAGCTTCCCACAGTGAGACCATGTCTCAAGAGAAAAAGTGTTGCTACTGTCATCTGGCCTTCTTTCTTTAGCTGACCAGTCTGTTAATCTAGAGATCAACTTGGTTTGGCTCTCATTCAACAAAAGAAGCAAGCCTAGAGTGCAGTGAGAGCTTCCACATCCTGGTGATGGTTAATGGCCAGGCAGTATCATGACCCAGACAGAGCAGGTGACTGTCCAGACCCTACACTGCACCCCATCACCTGTCTTCTGCATACACAGTATGTGGTTGCACCTTAGCTGAGGGCTTGTGCAGCACCTTGCTGACTGAGAGATATACTGGAAAGTATGTGCCAGGTTTGGATGTGAAGCATCAGTGTCCGTGACTGCTCACTTCAGTGTCTCCCTCTGACTTTCAGCTGGTAAGTCACATAGAAGAGATGCTGCAGACAGCCTACAACAAGCTCCACTCATGGCAATCACGGCGTCTGATGAAGAAGACGTGAAGCATTCATGGTGCTCACAGGTTTTGTGGGTTGAAAAAAACTGACCTGCGGTGACTCTGGAAACCTGGCTGAGGACAAGCAGATGCTCACACCGGGGAAACATCTGCTGCATGCCAACTCCCAGAGCTGATGCTATTGTACTTGCACATAAGAACCGAAAGAAGGCAGGGACGAGATTCACTTAACTCTGGGGAGGTAAACTAAGGCAGAACCAAAATGAGCTAAGTTGCAAATATATGTGTATGTGTACATGTATATGTATTTTAAAGACTGTTTACTGCAGTTACTCAGGAACTGCTTTTGGTTCACGTTAAGCTGCTTTCAAAATTAAAAGAAAAAATAATTTAAAAAAATACTTAAAGGGTGCATTGATAAAATCTGAGTTTTTTCATTGTTGTTTTCTGGGTAAATTTTTTCCCTAAGTTTATGGCACAGGGTAACCCTAAGTATCCCTCCTCATCCCCCACCAGGATCCTCAAATGTTACTGAATTCTAGTTGTCCCTTACATCAGCACGTTAAAGAGAGTACTTTGAATAAGGGAGGCTGTTGCGCAGCCATGAGGAAACAATTGTCAGAAGGCACCATTGGTCCTGCGTTTCCTACGGAAATAAGTGTTGCACTGAAGCCTGTGCTCTGGAGTCCCCAAGTAAAGGCACACCTGCAGGAGTCAGTGAGCTAGTGCAGGCTGTTGTCAGGCGACAATGATGCTGCATGTATTTCTTGGGTGCAAATGTATATTGCTGAAAATTTTTTAAAGATGGCATGTGCTTTGAAAAGAAGAAATTGCATTTTTAAGAGTTTAAAAATCTTACAAGTGAGAAATATAAGAATTGCTTATTTTCACCTGTTTAGAAGAAATAAAGGAAGTTTCTCATACCTTCTCTTCTTGGTGTCTTGACTGCTGCTGCTTGGCGAGTTGGTAATTACTGCAGAGTCACAGAAGAGCCTGAGTGTGACACTGACATTGATAACATACACCTTCCTTGTTCCTAGAGTCCGTGCTTCATCCTGTTCCCGTGGGTCACCTCCTGCCTCTCTGCAAACTTGTATTAAACACTGTGCAGAAGCAGAACTTGTGCAGGTGCCGAGGTGCTCCTTCAACTGGACACTGCTGGGGTTTGTGTTCTGAGAGCATGGCTGGGATTTGGGTTTGGTTTGGTTTGGTTTGGTTTTTTTGAGGCAAGGTCTCACCGTGTAGTCTTGGGCATTCTGCAATTCACTATATAGACCAGGCTGTCCTTGAACTCAGAGATCTGCCTGCTTTTGCCTCTAGAGTGCTGGGATTAAATAGGTACGCCTCCGCTGCCCAGCTCCACACTGATTATTCTTTTTTGTTGTTGTTTTGAGACAGTTTCTCTGTAAATCCCTCACTGTTCCTCACTCTAGACCAGGCTGACCTTGAACTCAGAGATCCACCTGCCTCTCTGCCTCCTGAGTGCTGGGATTAAAGTCTTGTGCCACCTCGACCCACTTATCACACTAGTAAGCGTAGGCTGTGAACTGGTAAATGGAAGAGAGGCCAATCACTTTCTAACTATACAGAGTGCTTTTCAACTGTGTTACTAACACAGTCACTCAGAGTAATACCAGTAAAGCAAATCTGTTGGGAAAAGCAGGCATAAACAAAACTGTGGAGTGTTGTTAAGAGGAAATGATACAGCAATGGGTGTGGTGGCGCATACCTTTCAACCCAGCACTCTGAAGGCAGAAGCTTGTAGAGCTCTAAGTTCAAAGCCAGCCTGGTCTGCATTGAGAGTTCCAGGACAGCCAGAGCTACATAGACTGTCTTAAAGAAATAAACAAAAAAGATGAAATTATACATACACATAAAGGAGCTTAAGGAAGAATAGACAAGTTTAAGAAATTGGGGTAGACACCGTTAAAAATTTTTGCCATACATGATAGAACATTTCTGTAATCCCAGCATTCAAGGTGGAAACAGGAGGCTACAGAATTCCAGGCCAGTCTGAGCTACACAGTAAAACCCATAACATTCCAGCTAAGCCTTAGGGGTTACGGCTTTATAAAGTAAATCATTTGTTCTAGGGAGAAGGGGAGCATGGTGAAGGTTTGAAAGACGCCCAACTGCCAGGGAAATGAGGAAAATGTTGAAATTGGAGACTTAGGTATAGTCAGAGCCTGGAAAGGAGGGGTGAGGGCTGGGGCTAATTGTTCTGTTTGAAATAGTCTTACTATATAGTTTAGGCTAATCTGGAACTAACTGTGTAGATGATGAGGTGGCCTCAAACTTGCAGTCTCTCTGCCTCTTGAGTAAAGTAATTACCATACCTAATTTGGAAACACAGCTTTAATTCTGATTGTAAATGGCTTTGTATGCCCAAGTAAGAAATCCAGGCCCCAATGGATGGAACTAGAAAATATCATCCTGAGTGAGGTAACCCAAACCCTGAAGGACAAACATGGTATGTACTCACTCCTAAGTGGATTCTAGATATAAAGCAAAGAACAATCAGACTACAACCCACAGAACCAGGGAGGCTATATAGCAGGGGGGACCCTAGGATGACTGTGGCTTATAATAACTTTTGGGTTTACTCAATTACTGGGCAAGCCTCAATGAAACATTTCACTATTAGGATAAGAATTTATACTGTATCAAGCTGATAATAGAAAAATAAAATAAATAAATTTTAAGAAAATGAAAAAAAAGAAAGAAAGAAAGAAATCCAGGCCCCGTGTGTTAGGCATGGCAGAGATGGAAGAAGAGGTTTGAGTATGAAGTTGTTTATGTGGGTTGGTGGTGAATTTAAATAAAAGGCCTGACAGACAAGGAAGACAGAATCTATCACGCTTTGGAGTGAGTGGAACTAGAAAGATGACAAAGGTGGAGTCCAGGAGCGGGGCGTGTAGCCTAGTTGTATAGCACCTTGCTAACATACAAGAGACCCCAGATTCAACCCCAAGTACCATCCCGGGTGTGGTGGTGTGCCCTGTGATGTGAGCACTTGAGAGAGTAGGGGGGCAAGAGAATCAGAAGTTCAAGGTCTTCCTTAGCTACATTGCAAGTCCAGGGGCTGGCTACTCAACCCTGTCCTCAAAAAAATACACATATGTAACCATGTCTCAGGAGTTCAAGGGAAGTAGTTCTATTTTGTGTCTATCTTATACATGAAATAGTTTGACTTTGGGATCCTTTTAAAGTAAACTTTAGGGGCTGGAGATCGCTCCAGCAGTTGGAGCACATAATGCTCTTCCAGAGGACCTGAGTTCAATTCCCAGCACTGGCATCAGGCAACTCACAACACCTATCAGTCTAGCTCCAGGGGTATCTGATACATTTGACCTCTGTGGGCACCTGCACTCATGCGCATACACGTGACTAAAAATAATTATTTAGCCAGATGTGGTTGCACACGTCTTTAATCCCAACACTGGGGAAACAGATCTCTGTGAATTTGAGGTCAGTCTGGTCTATATAGTGAGTTCCAGGACAACCAGGGCTATATAGACCCTATCTCAATAATCATAAATTTTTTTTTAATGTGAACTTTAGGAGCTGGAGGGATGGTTCAGCAGTTAAGGGCATTTGTTGCTCTTGTAGAGAGGACCTAGGTTCAGTTCCCAGCACCCACATGGCAGTTCATTCGTAACTCCAATTCTGGGTATCCAGCTCCCTCTTCTGATCTCTTTGAGTACTGTAGTGCACGTATACATGCTGGCAACATACTGATAAAAAAAAATTTTAACTAATTTAAGAAAAAAAATGACCAGCCTAATCTTCAGGGCGAGTTCCAGGACAGCGAGCACTACACAGAGAAACCCTGTCTCCAAAAAAAAAAAAAAAAAAAAATGACCCTTACCCACTGCAAAGCCTGGTATCACCCCACCCCCCAAATTCTGGACGGTGATGGCAGCTAGTGACAGGGCTGGCCCTGTCCAGAGCAGTTAACTGCCCTATCTCACTTCTTTTCAAAGCAACTAGTGGAGCAGAGGATACTAAAGATTATTCTACAGATCAGAAGTGATTTGGAGTTTAGAGAGCAAGAGAGATGGCTCAATGGTTAAGAACACTGCTGCTCTGGCAGAGGACTCAAGTTCAATTCCCAGAAGCCACATGGCAGCTCAAACTATTCATTACTCCAATTTCAAGGGATCTCTTAGGCATCAGCATGCACACTCATAGGCAATACACTCATAATATAGAAACACACATACACATATAGATGTGTATAGAAATATATAAAAAGAGAGGAAAATATAAATACACATAATATAAAAATAGCTTTAACTAAAACTGAGTAACTGGGCCGGGCGGTGGTGGCCCAGCACTTTAATCCCAACACTCGGGAGGCAGAGGCAGGCGGATCTTTGTGAGTTTGAGGCCAGCCTGGTCTACAGAGAGATCCAGGAAAGGCATAAAGCTACACAGAGAAACCCTGTCTCGAAAAAACAAAAAACAAAACAAAAACTTAAGTGATGGTTGGGATTTACCCTGAACTGCAAAGCCTCCTCCAGTCACTTAGGAATGAAGTATCTGTGGTAGAGCAGTAATTCCCAAGCCCAGGCTGTCATGCCCTGGCTTTTAATTTAACTGTCCTGCTGCATCTTTGCCTCTGGTTCCATTCTCTGCAAAGTACATTCCAGGGTCACCTGGTAGTAGAGCCCATGAGCTGCAAGTTGCAATAGTTTGGAAAACATGTCTTGCCTTCTGCAAAGAAGCTGATAGAGTTAACTAAGGTTGGTAGGGTTAGTCTGCTTTGAAGTCATTCTACGTGACCTTGTGATAGTTCCTTTGGTCTGAAACAAGACAATATTGGAAGCTCAAAAAAGTAACGGGTTGCTGGTTACCCAGGAGGTACCTTCCTGTGCTGCATACACCAGAGCAAGATGGAAAGCTGCCTGTTTTAAACTTAGATCTCTGTCTCCAGTGTCAGGTCTTGCCTGGGATTCCTCAGGGTTACCTCTGCCCTTTCCCAGTTTAGCTTGTTCAAGACTCAGCTGTTGGAGTTCTAGAGGCCAGGGCAGTCTTAGTTATTTTCAGCCCTTAAACTGCCCAGAGCTGGGACATTGCCTTAACCTGATTAAGGAGTGATTAGCCTTGTGTATAATCCACCTCCCTGTTTGGATGTGTATTAAAGTCACAGAAGAGACTGGGAACCTTGCCATCTAGTGGTTCTCAAGCTTCATAGTCACAGAGCTTTGTTTTAGTACAGTCTTTCACCTAATACACACAACAGACTATAGGTTAAGATCCAGTCCCTTGCCAGGCAAGATGGCACACCTGTAATTCTAGCACTAGGGAGGCTCACTGTGGATGAGCCTAGTTGCTCTAAGAAAGCAGGCTGAGCAAGCCAGTAAGCAGCGCTCCTCCATGGCCTCTGCTTCAGTTCCTA